CGCTGAGAAAGTAAAAGGAAGGGAGGGAGGGACATAGTTGGGAGGCAAGCAGGCTGTACCAGGGTCCTCTGTCTCCCTCCAACCCTCCCTCTTCCCCCCTGCCCTCCCTCGCTCGCTCTCCCATCTCTGCCTCACCACCCTCCCTTGCGCGCTTTCCCCTCTCTGCCTCACCCAATGTCGCCAGCGTCTCCTGCCCTCGCCGCCACCGGCCTTTCCATCGACGCACCACCGCCCCTAGTCCATGTGATGGTTTAGGACCCCGCGTCATCCGACGGACCCTTCGTTGGGTGCCTGTGAACCGGTTGCTTTGCACATGCTCTTCCACTCCGTTGGCTTGCGGGCTGGCAAAATGCACCACGTAGGAGCGCGGAGGGCCTTCATCGGTGGGGGGGGCGCCGTGCGGGCGGTGGGTATGACGGTGGAGGGGAGACTCTCCGGGAGGAGAAGGACAAGGAGGAGCAGGCGGAGGAACGAGGAGAAGCGCATGGGCTTTCCCGCACCGCCATTCCCGTTCCAAAAGAAGCTGGGCTTGTGGCCCATATTCAAATTCGTTGCCCCATTCGTCCAGGTACATCCAGCAGAACATGGTGGTGATGGGGCCGGAAGGAGGGGGCGGAAGGTCCTGAACCTCCTTGACCACATCGTACCATCCACCGGAGGAAGAGGAGAGAGTAGAGGGGGCTTGGTGGGGCGGAGATAAGGGCTCGGTCGGTGCCGTGGCAGGTAATGCATGGCTTTGGGACGCATGGATGGAGCATAAATGAGGAATTTCAGGGAGGTCATCCAGCATATCCCACGTCGCTTCCTCCTCCCCTTCTGTCTTGATTTCCTCTTCTCCACCCCATGGGACCCCTTCATGGTCCGTGGTGCCTTCATCCGGCCCAGGCCAGAGGGGATTCTGCGTTAATGAGGATGGTTCGCCTGGCAGCAAGGACGAGCGCTGGATGGAAAGAGGACGCTGGTCGTCGTCAATGACCACCGTATCCTCCTCTCCCTCCTCCCTCCCCTCCATTCCCTCCATCCCTCCGGCCATTCCTTGCGTCTGAACCTCTTCCCTGCTTCTCCCCCGGTGGCTTTCCACAAGGCCCGACCATCCCCTTCCCTCCTCGCTTGTTCCAGCCCTCTCGACTCGCTGCTTTAACTCGAAGCCTGCGTCCACTGCAGACAGAGAAGGATCATTCATTACCTTAGCGACCCTTACCTTGACAATGAGCGCATAAGTTCTGTAGTAAAATCGTGCGGAAGGAGGGGAAATGTCAAAGAACACTCTGGTCCTCATGGCTTGTGATATCCACTGCTTGAGCCTCTTGAGCTATTGTTACAAGCCTTCCGTCCAAAAAGAATAGACCTCATTCAATGATGTCTTGAAAGTCTGGATTGTGCATGGTTTTCCCCCCCGCACATCTACATATTCTTGGCGCATAAACCTTCTCAGAAGGAACAGGGGCCCTTGAAGTACTAGAACGTCGCTTTTGGGCGAGGCTAAGTGACAAGTCTCCGCCTTGGGTAAATCGACAGGCGTTTGTCGTGTGCCGCAACAAGTAATGCCAAAGCATGTCCTACTACGTAGAAGATCTACCTCGCTGGTTTCTCAATTGCACCTGGTTTGCATCTGGCTCATACACAATGCATTTTTTCTTGTGTCGAAGCGTCAACCTCCCCGTTCCTCCTCTCTGGCCTTACTTTAACTTATAACACTCCATTCTGCCCAGCATGTTTTCCACTGTTTCCTCATGCAGGATGTCAGGATGGGCTGTAGCAATTATTTTGCTTCCAACTTACAGCTTTGCCTTTTTTCGAAACGGCCCCTTTGTGCCGTCCACTCCACGCTCCTTCTCCCTCGCCACGAGACTCAGCATTGCCAAGGCCACTCCCGGAGATGTCGCGACAATCGACCTTTCTATAATGCTTGAGGACGGCACTGCCATGCCGGCTGATTTTGATACAGGTACATGACTGGCCGAAATCGACGTATGGTCGTTCATGGGGTACATTTTTTTTTAGGCCGCTCGGGGCATGACTAACAATGCCGGAGCTTTGAGGACTGAGTAAAGAGAGGCGTGTCTCAGGTTTAATTTTTTCCGTTCTTGGGGAATTAAAGTCATCGTGCAGTCTGAGAATGAGCATGCAGCCATGTATGAATGACATCGGTTTCATGCGGGACTTACAATTTATCGCGCCCCTTACCCAGGGTCACAGGTACGCTTTCGCCTCGGTCGTGGAGGACTGCCTCCTTACGTGCATGCCGCCGTGGAAGGAATGCACGTCCAAGAAAGAAGAACACGGTCAGTGCCACCGGACGAGGCCTACGGGCCTTACTATCCGGAGCTGGCCGCTGATATCCCTGCGGAGAACACCCCTCCAGGGATGAAAGTGGGCGATAAGGTGCGTCGAGGGCGAGGATGGGGAGGTACCGGGCCATGAATGATGCCCTGGAAATGCCCGCAGCGTTTCGATAGAGACCGACAGGGCGGTTAATGGAAAAACTCACCAGCGGGCGGGACGAATCAAAGAAGAGAAGGAGCGTGTGATCCGGTCGGAAAGGAAGGGCGTAGAGGCGGAGCCCGGTGGGATTCACGCCACCCCCCTCCCCTTTTACTTCCCTCCGTCTGCCCTCCTGCCCGCACTTTTCCTGCCCTTAGGTCAAACTCACCAACGGCTTGACAGCCCGGGTCACCCGGCACGACCCCGCCCAAGGACTTTTCAGCCTCGACGGCAACCACCCTTTCGCCGGGCGCACCCTCTCGCTCTCCCTGCTCCTCCACGACCTGATGCCCGCGGACAGCCCCTGCTTTGCGACGGTGCATCTGGCAGCCGGGTGCTTCTGGGGTCTGGAGTTAGCCTTCCAGCGGCTCCCAGGGGTGGTCGCCACGGCGGCAGGGTACACGCAAGGAGGCAATGAAGGGGAGGGGGAGGAACGGCGGGCGCCGACGTACAGCGAGGTGTGCAGCGGGCGCACGGGCTATGTGGAGGCGGTGGAGGTGCTATTCGATGAGGGAGTGGTCTCTTTCGAGAAGATCTTGGAGGTTAGGGCGGGAGGAGGGAGGGGGCAGGGCGTGCTCCGTTTCAACCCCCCTGTGCGTCTTCTATTTGCAGCGTGCACCCGCAGCTCGCTTCACGAGACTCTATATTAACTTGTTGCCCGGTCGTTTCCTATATATTCACTGAACCCTCATTGTGCCCGCTGCAATTTATTCCCTATCTGTTTTTCTTTCGATGACAAATTTGTGTTTTTCGGGATGTAAAATTGGGCCCTACAGGTCTTTTGGAACCGTCATGACCCCACCCAGCTCAACGGCCAAGGCAACGATCTCGGTGAGAATGGAAGGGAGTGTGGAGAACAGGCAGGGAACAACGTGAGAGAACTCCTGGGACGTCAAGGAGAGAAGCAGTGGATCACCTTTACGGTCTAGGGTTCCCTCGGCGTTCTCATTTCCCCATTCTCTTGCCCCTCCCTTTGTCTCCTTACGGGACCCTCCCCCCCTCAGGCACACAATACCGGGGAGGCATCTATTACACTTCCGACGCGCAGAAACGGGCGGCTGAGGAGAGTAAGGCTCGGTGAGTGTGGGAAGGGATGCGAGACCGAGGTGGGAAGGAGAGCAAGAGGGAGGAGAAGAGAGTGAAGAAGGAAGGCATTAGGCCCGTGGAGATTGAAAAGTCTTATCCAGAAGCTTTTTCTTGTAGGTTGGAAGCATCGGGACTTTACGACAAAGCTATTGTGACGGAAATTTTGCCAGCCGACATTTTCTATACGGCCGAGGTACATGGAGGGGAAGGACCCCAAGGGTTTCGGAGGGTAGACTCGAAAGGAGAGGAGAAGGCGACGCGAAGGATGGGATTTGCGTGCGGGATGGACGAGCAGCGGGTGGGAGGGAAGGGCGTGGAGACGAGGAGGAGGGATAGGAGGAAGAGGCAAGAGAGCTCGAGGGAGGTGGGGATAAGCGGCGTACCCTCCTTTCTTATTTTTACATTGGGAGAGGGAGGTTGTAGCTGATCAGTTTCTCTGCTCTTTTCCTCCATTCTCCTTCCCTTTCCATCCTCTCACTATGATCTTATACCATGGCCCCCTCCTCGCCGCCATATCTTTTATCTTCCTTAGGAATATCACCTTCAGTAAGTAGCTGCACCCATCCCTATCCATCTTTCCCGCCTGTGTTTTGGTCCTGATGAATATAAAACTCAGCCATTTCTCTCTCATTGCACGTTCTGTATGTTTGCCACCATGTAACAATGCCTTTTGTTGGTGGGGGAAGAATCTTTGAGATTCAGCTCGCCGTGCCCCTCCTGTCTTTCACGACCACAAAAGATTCAAACAC